ATCTGCCCTGTCGGTGGGCATCTTATCTGGGAAATTGGGAGCTGAGTGACCTGAGATCCATTCCCGTCCATGGAGAGGTATGGAAACTTCACACAGTCTGAAGGACCAGCATAAGCCTTGCAGCCAGATAAACTTGGGTCCAGATTCCAGCTCCGCCATTGACTTGCTGTGTGTCGCAGTGTGCTAACTTCTCTGTCCCTCAAATCCTCACCCGACCAGAAAACAGAAAGCTGGTGCACACAGAGGAAGATAATTAATACTCAAAAAATGGTATGTTATTAATACTTTTACCCTGTATAATTACCCTGATAATACTATTAACAGTAATAAGAGTAATAGTAATAATTGTTATTGTAGATATTGAATAAGATCATGAATGTAAAGCACCCATCACGTGATTGATACACAAAATGTTAGTTTCTACTTCTCTGCAGATTACCCACACCCACTAATGAATTCTAGAGACATTACAAGTTTTCTTCCGTCTGTGACAGAAACAGGCTCAATATGACTCAAGGCTCTCTGGTACCATTTTGGGGGGCAGATTTCTCTCTCTCCTCCAGGGCAAGCTATCATCCAGAAGCAAGGAGAAATGGAAAAAATAAGAGGGTATGTCTGTTCAGACTTGGTTACGGCAGGAATGGGAGCAAGTCAGAAGAGACAGATGTGTTTAATGGCCAATGCATTTGTCCAAAGGAATCATTTTCACTGGCCAGGAGCCCAATTAAACCTGTAAAATGGAAATCCAGAAAATCAGATTAACGAGCCAGTCATTAGTGAGGAAAAGACCCAGCTAATTCTGTGTTTAGCATGACGGATGGGCCCAGAGCAAATAATTGGATGACATTCATCAAATGTAAAATAAAAGGTGTCACTGAAAGGGAAAGTGGTAATAATCTTCGGGATTTACAGTGCCAGCGGATTTGCTTGTAAGGAAGAGAAAAGTTCATCAAAATAGATTAATAGTCGCTAAACTTTATTCCTGCCTTGTGTGATTGCCAGAGAACCACACAAATAATAGCGGAGAGGCAGCAGCTGCGTTAGCCTGGCGTCATTCCAGCGCTGGGAGGACTCTGCTCCCACGGGGCAGTCTCGGGCTTCTATCTGGCCACCAGTTCCTGTGCCCAGCCAGGGACTGGGCAGGAATGGAGAGTTCTTCTCTGCAGCCACTGTCCAGTCACTCAACAGTGGAGGAAATCAAGGCTCTCTGGTTCAGCAGATGAATCACAATTTATTGTTCAGTTGGTCAGTAAGTATTGACCTCCTGCCCTATGCCTGACATTTTAGGGAAGTGCTCATTCCTAGTTAACTAGTCAAGCACAGACTGGGGTCTTACACTAGCTTTTACAATGAAAAGCTGTGTGATGTTGGGCAAGTTAATTGACCTCTCTCAGCCTCAGTTTCCTAACCTGTAGAGTATCTATCTATCTATCTATAGTTATATATATGTATATATAGTATATTTATACATTTATGTATATATATGTTTGGAAGTAAATGAAGCATGGTTTATAAACTGCTTACTGTATCATCTTCTATGTAATAACCTTTCATTGCGTATAATTATTATTACTCTCTGTTTTAACCTTACCTCTGTAAAAAGACATCATTTTTTTAAGATGCAGCATTAATGCTATAATAGATGTTCTAAGGATATGAAGAAACACAAAATATACATACACATCAATTACAGCAATGTAATTTTTTTTTCTTTAAAGATGTTGGAATCAAGGAAATGTATTGTATTTTTGTTACAATACAATTGTTGACTTGAGTAAGATGGACGGAGGATTTGGGAGGGGAGAACAGGCTTGGAGCCAAACTTTACTAAGTTCGCATTTGTCTCTCTTGGGCAAGTCACTCAGTGTCTTGTAGCCTCTGCGGGGTTGTCAGTGGGATTAAACTAGATAATTTATATAAGGGCTATGGGTAGTTCTAGAGCATGGTAGATGAAATGAATCGATGACAGATGACAGTTTTATCATTATTTTTATCACCATAGGTCCACTCATCTCCTGCCATGAGACCAGCATTACTCAGGAATCGGGAAGTGACAACCTTATAATAAGACATGGAGGGGTCATTATAGGTATATGCATACCACGAGAACAAATGTTGAAAGTGCTGTAGAAATGCAACTTACAGAATTCAGGAGTTGAGAGGAGGGAGAAGTTATAATGAATTGGTGGCATCCAAAACCCTTCCATGAGCTCCTGGGTCTCAAACTGAGATTTAAAGCAGATTTCAACAGTACAGAGAGGGGCGCAGCCAGAGCAGGGGCAGAGCCGTGGGAACCAGCTTGATATCGCTGGGGGTACTGCGATGTCAGAGGCACTGGAAAACCTCTGGGCTCTCGGGCTTCATGCAGCTCTTTAATATTTTGAATGGTGTTTCTGAAGTGTAATTCCATCTTCATGATTTACTTAGGCACAGACTTTCAGGTTGTGTGGGTGAGCTTGTGAGAGAGAGAGAGACAGAGAGACAGAGAGACCGTGCTTGGGCAGGACCATATCAGCCATGGCCGGGCTGAGTTCCAGAGCCAGCGGGACTGATCACCCTCTCACGGGGACCACTCTGTTCTCCTCTGGCCCTCAGTAATTTGGAAACCCCAAGGGGCCCAGCGTTGCTCTGTGGTGCTGATAAGCGGCCTGTGTTGTCATCTTGTTCCCTATGGAGGTGCCTGGGTCTTCTGTGGAAGCTCTTCTGTTAATAGCTGCGCTCTGGCCAGCATCAGTGATGGGACTCACCTCCTCTGATGCTGGTCTAATTCTCTAAGGGGGAGGTTGGTGAGGTTCAGGATGTCCTGGAGAGAACTGATTCTTTAGCATATGGTAGGTGACCAGAGGATATATTCTGGGGCTTAAAAACTTTATCACTGGGTAAAGGCTTTTCTTTGCAGAGAGGGAGGTGATGAAAATGCTTTAGAACAATGTTAAGGGGCTGTGGTTGCACAGCATGGTGAATATGCCAAATACCACTGAACTGTGCACTTAGAAATGGTTACTTTTATGTTATATGAACTTGACCTCAATCAAAACAAATCTTTATCATTACTGTAAACACAGAAGTCAGGAAAGTAGCTGCATCTCAGAGGGAGGCAGGGGTCAGGGTGAGTGAGTGTTGGTTGGCATTCAAGTTCTATTTCTGTGCTGCTCCCAGTGTGGTCCCCAGATCTGCAGCATCAGCAGCATCTGGAAACTTATTAGAAAAGACAATTTTCGAACCTCACCCAGGCTGATTGAATCAGAGACTCTGTGGTGTGGGTGTGGGCCAGCAGTCTGAGTTTTAACAAGCTTTCCAGGCGATCCCAGTACATGCTGAGGTTTAAAAACTACCAGCTGAGTTCTTGAGTTTGCAGGTATGTTTATGTGGGTTGGTTTTGTAATGAAAAAGAAAACCAAATTAAACAAGTAAGTAGGATCATGCCAGGAGTAATGGTGACTATATTTAGAACCAAGTATTATATTTTAATCTGATTCTATGCAGGTGAGATGTATTCAGAAAAAGAAAAAGACTTCTCAGCCACTCATTGACCTTAATCTGTCAGCATCCCACCTCTAAGCCAATGCAGAACAATATAGATTCAAATATAGGTTTTATTTATTTATAAATAAATAAATAAATAAATAAATAAATAAATAATTAATGTTTTGGTAAAAAAAAAAGATGTCTTATCAAAGGGGAAAAAAAGTCTTGAAATATAAGACAAGAATGATTCTAATTAAAAAATAAAGATGTAAGGATAGCAGTGACCATCAGGGAGAGAGCCAGTCTCTCCTCTTGGTTCGTAGCCTCCTTTGCACCAAGCTTTTTCAAGGGTTCCGCCTTCACGCTGACTCTCACATCTGTTCTACCTGGCAGCGTGTGGTGCCTGGTTTGTGGGCTTTCAATCTGTGCAGGGCAAGGAGGAGCCATGCAATATGACATCTCTTAGAGTGAGGAGCGATGGGTGGCTTTCAATAGAGATGTTATTCCCCGCCTGCTCCCAGCAACCACTGTGGATGGGCGCCAGGTTTGGACCAGAGTCAGGGGGCTGGCCCACCTCCAGCAATTGCTTGGTCCTTAGTGAGCATGGAGCGTGGGCCTCCCGTGACTGCCTTAGCACAGCAGCCTGGTTGCTATTGTCCTCCTGCTCTTTTCTCTGAAAAGGCTGTGTTGTCTTCTCTTGTGAATATTAATTTCCCCTGAGTTAGGCTAATCGGGCCAAGAGCAGCCATCTGCAGAGCTGTGCCACGTTGGCAGGACTTTTCCGCAAGCCCAGGCCAGAGGACCTTTTCTTGGAGTGGTTTCTGGGTTCCTCTACGAATCTGTCTTATCCCAAATGAAGGTTCAGATCATGACTCCCCCAGCCGTGAGACAGAGAATAGAATGGAGACTCAGACTTCGGGTCTCTGACTTTCAAATCCAGAGTTCTTTCTCTGACTTTTGATGCCTTTAATTAACTTGCACTTGGAAAAAAATGTCTGCCTAATGCATGGATTTGTAAATATGAAGGAAAAAATTGTGCTCAGATTAGAAGTGAAATTAATTTCGAAGTAAGGAGAGCTTTGAACAATAATAGTAATTATTCAGATCCAGAAAAAAATTTTCTTTGCCGATCGTATCATCATTGAAATGGATTAAAAACTTTTTAAAAAGACAGAATATACAGAATATATAAATCATGGATCCAGCCCACATCAATAACTTCTCTGTTTTCAGCTGAAAATATGTATTAGTATGTATGTATGTAGTGTGTGTGTGTAGAACACAGTGACCAAATACAGAATCCCTGCTCTCACAGGTCGTGCCAGCCATGCAGAAAGAGTGGTGGAATTGCTCACTTATTGTCCAAGAGCATCTCAGGGTGCCATGGGGTTGGAGGCCTGAAGCCAACAAGGGATGTTCTGTAAAAGTTGTCACAAACCTATCGTGGCTGTTGACGGAGAGGCTCCCACTTTCCAACTTGTGCTGCGACCCGTAGCCCCATCTGACCTCTCTGTGTTTCCCCCGTGATCCAGGTTACAACTGGTGGAAGAGCCAGCTACTACGTGTCTTATCGGAGAGAAGCCTTTGCTCAGATAAAGCTGCCGAAGTACTCGCTGCCGAAGGTACGCGCCACCTGCTGCCCCGGGTCCTGCCAGACAGAGCAGCAGGGAGAGGCTGCCTTGTTGGGCGGCGGAAGGATTGATCCCTGCCTGGGAGACAGCTGGCATTCAGCGTGACTTAGCGCTGTGGGAGTGGTCTCTGCTGATCTCACGGAATCTGGGTTCTGTGCTCCCTTCTCAGCAGGGCGCACAGGCAAGGGCTTTGATTTCCTATGACTCAAACAAACGTCCTTCTTGGGTCATTTCCCAGGAGTGGTAGTGAAAGGAGCACTAGCTTTGGAACCTCTTTGAGGGCCCTCCCTTCGCAAGGGCCTTACTGACAAACAGGGCCCGGCTCAGAATGGCCCAAGCGTGTGTGTGTGTGTGTGTGTGTATATGTGTGTATATATGTATATGCATAAAGGTGCACAGGTGAGTCTCGTGGTTTCCTTGCTTCTCTCTACATTTTAATATAAATACACTGCCTATGGTTCCACTCCCTTCTGCCACTAGGAGTAATTAGAAAGGAATAATTTACTGTGATGTTAATATCAAATGATGGCATTTTAACTCCTCTGTTGGAAAGTCATAACTTGCTGTGTGGACCTCATCCCTGGTGAACAATAGCTTCTGGCAGGAGACGTATCTGTGAACCTCGGTGTGAACATGGGCAGGTACAACTGCATCACCTGGTGAGGCTGCAAAGAAGCAGAGTCTCAGGTTGGGCACGTATCAAATGCTGTCTTACAGGGACTTGGGTCCCCAAGCTGGTGCCAGGAAACACGTCATGAACGTTTAAATGGGTCTAGAGGTAGGAGGGGTTATGGGATAAGACGGTGGATAATTATCTACCTCCAGCTGCTTTTATTAATTTTGTTATTCATGTAGGCATGCATATATCCATTCATTCATTTGTTCCTTCTTTTATTCACCCATTGTTCCATTCTTAATTCCAAATAAGTTTTCAGTCTGCACCAGGCACTGAACTAAGCTCTGTGAAGAGAGTCCCTGCCTCCATGGAGCTTGTGTTCTAGTGGAGAATAGAGACACAGAGCCAGTGACTGTGGGTGTAGAGAGTGTTACAGGTGTGCAAGTTCAAGGGCCATGGGGACAGCATAGCTGGAGTTAACCAAATATAAGTGGTGAGGGCAAGCTTCCTACAGAAAGTGACGCTTCAGATGATCCAAGAAAGATACGGAGTTAACCCTGCAAACGTGCTGGAGAAGCTGATAGGGAACGCATGCCCAGGCCCTATTTTAAGAGAGTGTGGCTCATTTAATAAACTGAAAAACCATCTCGAGGGACTGGGTTACAGAGAGGTGGAGAGGCTGATGAGGTGGGCAGGGACCACAGTAAGCAGCCTCCAGGCCACGAGCATCATTTTCTCATTTTTCTCTACCCTCTCTGTGATTGGCTTTATAGGACCATTGTGTAGTGTTGTGGTTGCAGGATGTACCCATCAGATACTCTAAACCCAAGCAAGCAATGGGTATCCCTGCTTGGAGATGAGGAGGGGGAAGTTTATAATCATGTTCTTTCCAAAAGAGAATGACCCTTAAGCAGGAACCTGATGATTTCCATGTATGGGGCCCAAGAAGAGTTTGGGGAACTTTTCAAACCATATCCTCCATGGAGGGCCTATTCTGTCTCTGTCTGTATGTGTGTGTGTATAGATATATATACATTTTTTTTAACCTTCTCAGGAAACAGTTTGCTCCCCTGGGCAGCATGGCTGCAGGTGGGGACAAATGAAGCCTGGCATGGACCACAAGCCTAGAACACTCCATTAATGTTTAGCAGCCCTGTGGCAATTTACTCTGGTGGAGGACCATCCGTGCATCCCCTTTTATGGAACTTCATCCAGAACAGCTTCTCATTAATATGAAGGCTGCTGTGAAAATAGCTGGATGGTTATCGATCCCCTTTATTAGCCGGCATTGGCCCAGATTTTCATAGCCTCGGCCGAGGAGGTGAGGGCAGAGCGGGTAGAGGGAGATCAGTTCTTTCCGTTGTTTAAAAATGGAAATGGCTTTTAAGCAAGTTGTTTCTGGTCCATGTGGTGTTGCAGCTGCTGCTGGGCATCTTGTTTAAAAACAAAAACACAGAAAAGTTCCCCATCACCATTATCGTCACACCTATATTCCTGTCTGTTCAGAAGACACTCTCCTGGGGCACGCTATGTGGCTTTGTAGTGTTCTGCAGGGGAGGAAATGAGAGGCATTATTCGTGGCAGGAACCTTGTGCTGAGTCCCCCCATAGCCCCATAGCATCAGATTGGCACTCTCAGACCAATGGCCATGAAAAGTGTGCACCAGCGGAGGGCGTGGAGGAGATGACAGGAACTACAGTAGCCTCAGGAGAAAGGGCTTTCACTCCAGCTCTGCCACCTACTTATCTATGAACTCAGGTCTTCTCATCTGTGAAATGGGCACCATAATACCACTGGACAAAGTTATGAGGATGTCAGGAATCGCTCATTGTTGGTTAAGTGTGAAGTGCTGGGCAGTTCTAAGCAGTGATCCCAGGGAAACACTGCAATACTCCTAACCTGCCCAGCAAGTTCCCTGTGGGGTCACAGCCCAGTATGACCTTGGTCTCGGGGCTGCCTGCCTCACTGTACCACTCTGAGTCTGAGAGCCCTCCTCTGGTCTCTTAAATTCTGAGTTTCTTCTTCTTTTTTTTTAAATTGAAATATAGTCAGTCACAGTGTGTCAATTTCTGGTATATAGCATAATGTTTCAATCATACACCTACATACATATATTCATTTTCATATTCTTTTTCATTATGGGTTGAAAAAATTAGATTTTCTTATTTGTTTGTTTCTATATGGAACTCAGTTTGGCAGTGAATATGTTGAACTTTACTTGAGCCCTGAGCTCCTGGAAAACAGCATCGTTTAAGATGTCCCCCACCCTTTTGTGTTCGTGGACGTGACTTACCGCAGAGAACCCCCCACTTCCCGCATGTGCCCTAATGAGGTTCACATGTCCCCTGCGTTTACCTCTGATAAGACCAGATTCCTGTTCTTTGTCTCATCAGTGATGAGCTGAACTGTTGGTCTCCAACCAATCTGGACAAAACACCTGCTAATTCGACTTGACCTCATTTCAGTCTGGCTTTTCTTCTTCTGAAAATCACCTGACCCTAAGGAAAACCATTTGCTGTTTAACCACTCACTCCGCTTCCCACACTTCCTTCTAGCCTTGCTTTACTTCCCCCTACACAGGCAATTCTTGCCTGTCTTCACTCTGAGCTGCTTGCAGGTATCATGGTCAGCCTGTTCTCCTGACTGCAATAGTCTTTTCAGATAAAGTCTCCCCTTACCTAAGCCTGGGTTTGTCTTTCACAGTAGAATATGGCTATTCCCATTCTGAATAATAAAAGAGAGGATCGGAAAATAATTTTTAGAAACTGTATTGTAATGATGATGGTAATGATACTAACCTTTTCCTTCATTTCCTTAGGAAAATTTTCCTTAACTTTTGCATTTCCCCAAATGCTAATTTATCCTTCTTTGCTGTGTCACAGCCACACTTCTTAGAGTTATCTGTAATTCTAACCTCTTCTCCCACTTTATATTCACACTTTAACCTACTGCTAATTGTCCTCAGCTCTCTCACATCCATCTCTCCACTATTCCACTAAAAATCTTCTAACCATTATTACAAGTGACCATCTACCTGTCAAATCCAATAAACATCTCTACATCTTTATTTGTGTATTTATGTATTTTACCTCTCTGAAGCATTTGACACTGTTGGGGAAAAATCCATACTTGATACTTGTCCCTTTGTCAGTGTTTTTTTAATTTTATTTTACTTTCTGGATTCCCTTTCTTGCTATCCTTAAAATATTGATGTTCCTAAGCTCTCCTTGGATTCTTCATGGTTCCTGAGTGACTTCATCCCTTCTCTTCATGCTGATGACTCTTACAGCCCCAGTCCCAGCTCATATCTCTCCTTTAAACTCTGGACTATATATTTAACTGCCTATTGAAAGTACATTCCCTTAATGGTCCCATTTAACAACCAAGCTCAGAGTCTTTACCTTTTGTCCTTATGTCTCCTCCTTCTGCCATCTTTGCTTACTTACTCCATTTATTTACTCAATAAGATTTTGTTGGATGTCTACCATATGCTGGATACCCCAATAAGTACTAGAAATAGAGTGATAAATAAGAGAGATGTAGTTTCTGTGCTCTGGGAGCTTATAGTCTAACAAGAGAGACAGGCATCACATAAATAATTATAGAAGCTATCATTAATTTTGATCGTAGTGAGTACTAAAAAGAAAAAGCGAAACATTTTGGAATTCAGATATCTGAGGTAATAGGCCTTCTCTCTTACCCCTTGTAAATTCTACCTCCTTAATATCTCACCAGTTCATTTCATAGGGTTCTCATAGAGAAGCTACTTCCTTGGTTCAGACCCTTGAGTGTTACTACCTAGATGGTTGCAGTGACCTTTTAAGCCTTCTCCCTGCCTCTGGCATTGCCTTACTCACCCTGTTCTTCGCAATGCTTCCAAGTTGGGTGTTATCATGTAATGAACCTGACCTTCTCCAACCTAAATCTATACATTAACCAACTCTAATCATCTCTTTCTCCTGTTTAAAATCTTGTGACGGCATTGTACTTCCTTCTGGGTAAAACTTTGGTGTGCCCTACAGAACCCCTGGTGATGTGGTCACTCTTTATTCTCACCCCCCTCAGAGGAAGTCTGATTTCATGTTATTTCAAGTTCCATACATTGCCTTGAATGCTCCACCCTCTCTCTCACCCATAAGCCTTTAGAGTCCTTTCACCATTTTCAGTATGTCTATTGTTGCACATAGTCAAGTTCACAGAAGGCCACATGAATTTGTGATGTCTCCACCACCAGGTGAGTATCTTCTTGAAGTCAGGTTCTCTATTTTGTTCCTTTCCGTATTTCTACATGGTGTTTGGCACACGGCAAATGCTTAATAGCATAGGCGTTTCTGTAATAGTGAAGTTACATCAGGCCCAGATTACAAGAAAATGTTTCAATAACAGGGAACCATTTTTACCATTGTTCACCTAGGAAATCAGAGGTTTAGGTTTTCAGAAAGTAACTATCATTCTCCCTAATAACTAAATTGGGAGGGCGTAGGGGGAGTGTTACTTATAATTATCTTAATAAGGAAATGACACATGCTTTGCAGTTAGATGAAGGTAGCAAGACAAAAGCAACAAGCTTTATTATCATTCAGATTCCTATTGGATCAATTTTAACGAATAATGCTTTTCTTTTTTCTTGAAGATTTAAAATTTTGATTATTTGTTGACCTCGATTCACCTCTAAGACCTCTAAGAAAGGACATATAGTTCAGAGTTTTGTGAAAAGTGATTCCCCAGATTGCGTGCCCCAGAATCGTCTAGAGGGTTTGCTCATATGGTAGAATCCAAAGCTCCACATCAGACATACTGACTCAGAATCTCAGACAGTGGGACCCGTGAGTCTGCATGCTGCTAGGATCTCCAGGTCTTCTTTATGCACACTGAATTATACCCCCACTTATATGGAGTTTAACTTCTTGATTCAGATAGTCTTGGGCTCAAATCTTAGTGATTTAACTTAACAGCTAAGTGATTTTGGCACATTATGGATTTCTCAAGCAGACATCCTATAACTCTGTATACTAGAGAGTAGTGTCTCACCCCAGAGCTGAGTACCTGTTCACCAGGTAACATAGTCCCAGTGCAGGTCTAAAGTAAGAAGCGCTCACAGAAAATCTGGCTGCCTCTAATCCTGACCATGCCCCAGTGTTTAAGTTGTTTTTTTCCATTTCTTTTACATTAGTTTAGTCTAAAATAGCTTAGCTCATTCATTTTTATGACCAAAACATCTGGGAAAAGCCAGGCATTTCTATTGCATTTTTAACAGGGTAAGTGAATTTAATCCGTATTTCCTGCAGCTGCTATTTCCCCTCCTACTGGGCTCTTGGGCTTTCATTCCACACCAACACAACAGGATTTCATCACATGGTTTTTAAGAGGAAGCCTCATTTCCATTTTCAAGCACCTCAGCAGGAACCTGTAATTCTACAAGGTGTGTAAGCACAAATGAGTGAGTGAGGTCTTAGTCAAGGTCACTTAGAAAGTCCAAGGCTAGGGAGCTGACAGAGAATCTCCAGGAAGAAGATCCAGTAATTACTTTCTCAGCTGTCGAAATCAAATGTGTTTGCTCCTTTATTTAAAACAAAACAAAAAAACTTGGAGGAGCTCTCCATGGTCCTGACATCATAGACATGGCAGCACACTTTTTGTTGCTGTTGTTGAAACCATTTCTGGGAAAGGTTGGTCACATAAGGTAAAGGCTAGACCCACTCTGGTTATTTACTACTGTCAACTACAATTGTCTGTGTCCCTGTTACCAGTGCTTTCCCCACCACAGTGACAAGGCTGCCTCTCTTTTTGATTTCCTGGGATGATACTGCTCTTTGGCATATAGAGCCGTATAGTTATGCATTTTAAAAATTACTCCTATTTTGTCCAATGTTTATCTAGGTCAACATTTCCTCCTGAAAGTGTAAGTTCCCTAGGTAAGGATTTGAGTTTGTGATAATCTCTGTCCAGTGCCTTGCCACATATGCAAACTAGCTTTTATAAATTGTTTTGAATTGTGAACTGTTAGATTTGATTTTAGAAATGATCTGGTCCAGGACTAGAAACTAAAGTGACTTCAGGGACCAGGATGTTAACATTAATATGGAAGGGCAGATCGCAGGAACCTTTGGGTATGTAGGGCTAAGACTACAATAAGTCCTGACTCCACCTAAAATACTACATTTTCAGATTTTTGATAAAAGGCTATGGTCAAACCAAACAGTTGTGATTCATATTCATTTCATGGGTGGTTCATTTGCAACTTCTGATCTTGAAGTTCTACATCCACATAGTTAGAAGCTAACTATTAGATTAGAGTTATACTACAGAGGTTCAAAACATGGTTTAACTACTTACTAGTTTATGTAGTCCAAAGCAAGTTGGTAAACCTCTGCATGCCTCAGTTTACTCCTCAGTAAAATGGGACTAATCATACTACCTCCATTATAGAATTATTTGGATTTTTAAAATTATAATAATGCATTTAGATGACTTAGAGTATTTTCCAAATGTTAGCTACTTTTACTGGTAGCCCAAACTCTTCACTCTTTTGGTGAGAAAATGGAAGCTCAGGGAAACTGACACATTCAATATCATACAGCTGACTTATAGAAAAGCTTATATTATGCCCCAGGACACAAAATTCCAGGTTGGATATCCTTTCCTCTAGGTCTGTGGCTTTCAAATACTATTTTATTAGCAGCAGAACCCCCTTGCCTTTTATTCTTAAAATATTACACTGAACTCCAGGATAAAACAGATCTGAGTGGTGCTGCTCTATTTGAAACAGGATTGGAAGCCTGGAACCCCATCCATTGCCAATGCTTCCATGCCATCCTTCTTGCAATCCTTGTGGCTCTGAAGATTCCAAAGAAAGGTGTTAAAATCACTACACTAAAAAGTTTGAAATCATAAATGAAGGTCTAATGAAGGGGTAGGCCCTGTCTTTTTTGCATGTGTGAGTTTCCTCTTGCAAGGCTGTATGTCTCTGTTAGCACTAACACCAACTTTTCTGATATAAAAATAAAAAATGAAAATGGATGGATTCCCTCGAAGCCATGGAAAATGATACTCACCAAAGCCCCTTACACCCATCTCACTGTCACTTAGCAAAGAACAGAAATCATGAAGCTTATAATTTATAGCCTTGGTTAGACGTGGAATTGTTTAACACTGCCTATAACTCAAGCTTTTCCTCAACCATTTCATAAGTCATGGTAATTACTCTGGGTCCCAGTGGGCAGGGAGATATGGAGATCTGCTGCTTTACAAGCCTTCCATCTTCTTACAGGACATGCACATCATTAGTACCAATGAGAACCAAGTGTTTGCAGCAGTCCAGGAGTGGAACCAGAACGACACGTACAACCTCTACATCTCAGACACCCGTGGGATCTACTTCACCCTGGCCATGGAGAACATTAAGAGCAGCCGAGGTCTGATGGGAAACATCATCATCGAATTGTATGAGGTATGTAGCCAGGATTTTCCCACATCTGCATCTGCCTCTCTTTCTCATGCATTTGAATGGTATTAACACAAGTGTTGGAGTCAGATAGTCTGAGTTCAGATCCCAGCTGTACACTTAGCCATTGTGTGACTTTGGGCAAGGAACTTAACTTCTCTGTGCCTCAATTCCCTCACCTATAAAATGGGTGTGTGTGTATATATATATATATATATATATATATATATAGTAGTGTGTATGTGTGTGTATATATATATATATATATATATATATATATATATATCTGATGAAATTATTGTGAGAGTGAGAGATGTTTGTAAAGCGTCTAGTGCTGTGATTGACTCAATAAGCCTTCAATGAATGGTAGCTAAAGTCAACGTTCTTATATGTTTGAGCATGATTACAAGCCAGAGTGAAGGTACTTGACATCAGTGGTCTTTTGAGTACTTAAAATGCTTCTTTTTGGGAGGTCTAGGTGAGGGAATAGTACTATTTCTATGCCTCAAATCATTTGGAAAATCATGTTTTATGAACAAACTTTATAGGAAGGAGAGGGGTGGGAGTGAGGGTTTCCCTAACATGCTGCCAGATGCCAACACCTGTGTATGGAGAAGACCTGGCTTTGACTTACACTGAGTTTTTCTTTTTTTCTTTTTCTTTCAATATAATCACCTTTATTGAGTTTTCACTTATATTGAAATTTTGTTTTAATGTGACCACCAGTTAAAGAATAATTTGTCTAACAAGTGATTCCATTTGGGAACTAGATTTTTTTAAAAACCCTAATTATTTCAGTGCCCCTAAGTATATAGTGCTTGTTTATACCTCTAGTAACAGTATGTGACCTTTGTCAGTCTTGACCTCAGCAAAAGAACTGAACTGACCACTTCAACCTGATGGATTGAGTTGAGCAGAGAAGGTGTGTCTCATTGTCCAACATTCACTGTGTCAGATCCACACAGGCTGTGCTGGCTGAGGTCATTCATTTATTGCAGGACAAGCTGTCTGTTGTGGGTGGTACCCTCAGATGGCTCGGGTGAACTACTCCCTTGTGAGTTTTCCTCTTTGAGAAGTGGGAGTGGCTTTCAGAACAGAGGGATCGGTGCATGGGCTCTGCTTTCCCGTGGTCTCTTCTGAGCTGTGCCTGTCAAGGTTCCAGCATCCCTGCCCTGGTATCTAAGTTGGCTGCTCAGTTGCTAAGAGTGATGGAAACATATACGATTCCAGTTACTTTATTAGGCAGAAGCAGGATTACACAAAGGCATGGAGTGAATGGAAGTACCTTAAAAAGAAGGAGAGAAGTGACTGTCATTGGTCATAAAACAAAATCAGTAGAAATACCCTGTTTTCTCAGATATAGTAGACATGCGCTGAAATAATTCCCTTAGCAACAAGATCCCAGCTTGGGAAACGGCCCAGATTTCTTCCTAAAGTTGTAAAGACGGGCACAGATGACTAAGGGGTCTAAATGGCTTTGGGAAGCTTACATTTTCATGCCTCTAATCACAGTAGGAGGCAGAAATATACCTTTGTTACTGGGCAGTAAATCACATCTGTGAGAAGGTTTGGATAAATGTTCCCAGGACTGAGGCCATTCCTGTTGGCACAAGTAAGCCTGCAGAGGTAAGAGGATTATGCATGCTCCTGTGGTCTGAGCCCAATAGGAGGGGCCGGCCATTGCTGCAGATGACCTTTCAGTTGAGAAATTCCTGTTTCTATGACTGTTGATGTGGTGGATGAGTTTGCCACTGTGCTATTCTTTTCCTTAAAAAGGGTGCCTGAAACTCCTTGGTCATTTAAAACAGTGAGACTCTGATCTGAAGTGGAGCATGAATCAAAATGAAGAATGTGCCAAAATACATGTAATTTTTTTTTCATCGTGCTAAAGTCAGTCTTGTTGGGGGAAAAAAATGCTTGGTGTCATTGCATCTACAGAGAAGCAAGTTGTACCAGGCAAAGCAACGTCTTTAAAACCAATTCTGCTAAGCTTGTTCTCCGTTCATTTTTATGAGGGTTGATTGTGCCCCTGCATTGTGTTCAAGCCCATGAGAAAAGCTGGAGAGATTAGGGTTCTTACCCTCAAGGAGCTTACAATCTAGTTTATTGGGCTTTGAAGGGAGGTGAATAAACCAAGTTTCTCTTTTACTCGCCCAAGATTGAATCCAATTGAGACCGAAACAAAGGGTGAGACAAAAGGAGATCAAATGTCAGCTTTATTGCTTTTAAAAGCACATAGGAGGAAGTGGTCTTGCTAATACTGCTCCCCAGAATTGGATGCATCCATCCAGTCACAGGCAGAAATAGTAAATCAAAAGTTCTCACATGGAAGCCTGTTTCTGTGACACCACAGCACTGAGTACAGAGGATGTGATCTTTGCAGGCAGATCCTCAAAATAGTTGAGTTAAGGATGCACTGTACGTACCCAGTTCTTTTTCTCAATGTTACCAATCTGATTATCTGTACTTTTGCCTTGGGGAGGAGGAAGTGGACAAGTGGAAGGCATTCCAAATGTCAAGAATGGCATAAGCCAAGAATTGGATACATGGTGTAGATTTGTAAGACCGTGAGCTAGCCAGCTAGTCTAATTGCATAGAATAAGTGGTTGTCAGGGACAAGAATGAGTGCTGGATAAGTAATTGAGGCTCAGATTCTACAAGGCATTTAATACCAAGGGAATAAATTGTGTCCTGACACTATCTAGACCATGACCATATTGAAGGTTTTTAGAGGGCGATGCTGTTTTGCACCTGAATATACATTCTGTGATTTGGTGATAAAGCTCAATTTAATTGGTCCCCGGGGTCATTAGACTTTAACCTTCTTCACTGGAGATTCTCACAGAAACTAAGATTGTGTACCATATGGCCAGTTAGCAAAGAGACTATAATTTCATCTGGACTCTGAATGCCCTTGAGTAATACAGCTGGGGAAAAAAAATCAGTGAGCTTTTACGTTCAATTCAGCTAAATTAACATACTTTCATGGAGTGTATTTTGTTTGATAGGCTGGTGCATGAGATTCATGATCTACTGGAAAGATATAAGTGACTCTTCTTAGTTGTTCACAGTCTAACTTGTATTGGAGGTACAATGCCTGCAGGTTATAGGGTCAGGAAAGAGGAAAGTTAATTCTCACTTGATGAATTTGGGGAGACTTGCGATGAGTAGATTTAAATGATGAATTTCTGGAGCTCGCGAGAAAGACATGGCTGGTAAAGTCCCACGTGGGAAAAGAGCCAGAAGCTGATGATTAGAGGTCCATTTTCCTGGAATGTTGAATGATCTTGGAGGATACTGGGGATACAGTTTATAAAGGTACTAGTAAAGAGCTTGAGGGTTGGGCATTTATTCTCTGGGCTAGTATTTCTCTGTGTTTTTCCCTTACATCTAGCAAATGATAATTAAATGTAGGAGGTAGTCCCCATGCCAAGGTAATTTGTAGCTTTACATAATAATGTGACAGGATATTACACCTATTTTCTTTTGTCTGAAATGTCAGAGATGCCTTTAGGTAACACAGATGTGAGGTGGCTCAGGCTGACTGTGGCCACTTAAAGCTACTGGTCTATCACTCCACCTTCCACGTGGACCTCTCGAGCCTTTTCTTGATATTGGAAAGGGGGCAAAGAAAGTGAGAATTTCCCTGAGAATTCACTTTGCAGGTCTTGGCACTAAGAGACCCATGGCGATCAAGCCCATCAAACTCCCTAAAATCTAAGGCAAAGTATTGTTCATGCCTTGGTCCGTTGGCACAGTTTCCTGCTGTAGACAATCTCATGCTCTCTTTAGTCCCTGCCTCAGAGTGCAATATTGTCATGACTGTAATTCCATAACCAGGAAGAAAATAATTCTTGAAAGCCAAATATTAATCTTTTCTTTAACGTGTTAGAGCCCATTCCATCAAAACAAGGCTGGTGGTGTTCATAATGCAGTTCATTATGTGTGTTCACAATTATATGTGGGTTTTTTTTCACATCTCTAACTATAAACTACAATTCTTCTTAGTTGTTCTCCACTGATAAATCAAGTGACTAATACTCTTTCCAACACTCTCAGTTACACTATAGAAATATACTCTCAGCTGCTACATTTTCTTCAGTGCTTTCCTGGATTAAGCATTGACTTGTAACTCTGTATAAAAATAACAACAGCATATCTATCAGGTAATGTCTTAGACTGGCATTGTTGAATAAATACATAATACAACTGCACATGCACTTTTAAGTTTTGTACTACCCACAGTTAAAAAACAATAAAGAGAAACAGCTGAAATTAATTGTAATGATATATTTTACTTAACCAAAATATCCAAAAGCAATCATTTCAGTATATGCTTAATATGAAAAAAATTACTAATGAGATATCTTATATTTTTGTCATACTAAGTCTACAATCTCCTGGGTATATTTTACACTTCCCAAGCATCTCAATTCGTGTACTGAATTTTCACCAGAAATACTTGATCAGCATTTATATTTCATAAAATTTACAATAGAAAAAGTGGATTCACATACCCAGGTTATTCTAAACATACAATAACTGGACTAGGTATCAGGTTTTAAATTTAAGCTTACATTGGTTAAAATTAAATAAAATTAAAAGTCTATTTCTGGTAAAGAACGTTATACTGTATAGCACAGAGAACTGTATTCAATAGCTTGTAATAACCTATAAAGAAAACAAATGTGAAAAATAATGTGCATATATAAAACACAATCACTATGCTGTACACCAGAAACTAACACAACATTGTAAATCAACTATACTTCACTTGAAAGAGAAGTCAGTTTCTTAGTCCTTTTGGCCCCATTTCAAGTTCTCAGTAGCCATATGTGACTTACGGCTATAATATTGGACTGCATAATCCTTAACGATTTATAAACTCTTTCTTATTTATCTATTACAATATCTCCTTGTGGTAGATATCATTCCCTGATGTGCCTTTGAGAGATGCAGAGAATTTGGTAACTTGGCTAAGATCACACAGCTAGTCAACAGTGGATCAGTGTTGGAACCAACCCATGTCTTTCTGACCAGAAGTCCAGGCTCTTTCTACTATACAATTTTTTCACGTTCATTTTTTAAAACTGAGGTATAATATATGTCTAGTGACATTTGCCCTTTCTGGTGTACCCTTTTTGGTTCTATGAGCTTTGGCAGGGGTATGTGCATCCACCGCCATCGTCAAGGTCATTGACCATGTAGGATATTGTCTCAAAACATTCCCTCTCTGGCCCTTTTGTAGTCACCCTCCTCCCACCCAGAGTCACTAGCAAATCAATCTGATTTCTCTCTCTCCCTTCTAGATTTCATAGGACTGGAATTATACAGTTGGCAGTCTTTTGAGTCTAGCATCTTTCACTTAGAATAATGCATTTGAGACTCACCCGTGTTGTTGACCATTAATAGATGTTTCTTCTTTCTGTTGCTGGGTAGTACTGCATTGCCTGGGTGTGTCTTCATTTGTTTATTTATTCACCGATTGAAGGTCCTCCCAGTTGTTTCCAGTTTTGTATGAGTATGAAGGAAATTTCTATAAACATTCATGTGATCTTTCTCATGGGTAAATCCCTAGGAGCAGAATTGCTTGGCCGAATGTAAATGTACGTTTATAAAAAGCCACCAAACTGATTCTCAAGTGGCAGTATCATTTTGTATCCCCACCAGAGATGTATGCAAGTTCTAATTGCTTCACATCTTCATCAGTACTTGGTATTATCAGTTTCGTGTGTGTGCATGTGTTTAGACATCCTTTTAGGGGCCTAGTGCTTCCTCGGTAGTTGAGTTTAAATTTCCTAGTGACTAATCACGTTGACTTCACTGTACTTGGATGGACAAAATACAACTTTCTGAGCCATCCTTAGTGTTCTGGCCTCTTTGTGCATCTTATCGATGTTTCTTTGTGTTCCCTGTCTCTGTTTCCTGCCTTCCACCCTCTGCTTTATCATGACCTTACATTACCCTTCTTTGGCCAGATGGGCAGCTGCTTAGAGACTCCACAGGGACATTTTCCGAAACTGACCTTCGTCCATTCCTCACTACAGATCCAACTCTAGGGACAGCCCAAGGGAGACCATGGTAATTGCTTTTCTCAGCAGAGCCCTGTCTTCCTTACCTGAGGGCCCAGGGAGGTGAGCGACAGATGACCATGCCACCTGGACTCAGTGCTTTGCCAAGGGACTGCTGTCATTGTCCCTTTGTACCCCAGATTGATTCCCAGAGGGAAAGTGGGCCATGCAGGCCTGATGTCTTGTCTCACCCTCTTCTGTGGGGACCACCACAAGCTGGTACCTTTCTCCTTGAACTCTTGGAGTCGACAGCAACCACACTTCTGATTTCAAACCACAGTGGGAGGAAACACATTTAAGTTTATCAGATCCCAAGTACCTCCTTGGATGGAGAAGAGCGGAAATGTGTTTCTCATTCTCCAACAACTCCTTTCTATTGCACGTAGTGGGGATAAGTAGTGTCTCATGGAAATCTTGTGTTGGAAATGTGCATGTAGCTACCTGTGTACACAGGCATGCATATGTGGGCGTGAGTCTACTAGGCTTCGACAACATAAATGGATTTCATACTTGGGTTGCAATCAAAAAATCTGAAAGCTATTGGCCTAGGGTATAGGAAGCAAAGTGCCCTCCAAACTTACAGTCCATTTATACAAGAGATGGAGCCAAGAAACAATTCAGCAATAATGTTAAGGGCTTCGAACAATCCAAACACAAATGGAAACTGTTCTTTTTTGTTTGTTTTTGTCAGACAGGAGGCAGATTGCTTTGGCAGTGTATGTAATTATAAGAGAAATATCTTCAGAGATGCAGATGGTCACCCTCAGCATCTCTCCTTCCTACAGCCCTTCTGTTCCCATCCCCCTGATTTTGCTCTCAGACTTGATGAGGCACACAGGAAATGCCCATCTGAGTAGTGGAGTTCTTGGTGGGAATGTTGGGAATGTGGCAGTGTAATACTGATATATTTGCCGAGCATGCTCATCCAGAAAAGCACAAAGGGCAGCTGAGTGGCTAGTAATTCCTGCTGGAATGCATTGAGCTAGGAGGCAGGGGGTGGGTGACAGAAGTCCTACAGGAGCAGACTCAGGAGTCTGAGTCTGACCTGAGTGTTTGCTAGAAAGGGGATAGCCAGGCCCTGGCTACGTGTTGGAGGAGAGCCAGCTGGCTCAGTGCGGGGAGTTCTATGGAAGCATTGTCTGGCGGTCCATCATAAAAACACCAGCTCTGTGTCTGAAGAGAATACCAGAAGCCCCCCGTGAGGCAGAAGGCTCTAAGGGGTACAGATTCCATTCTCTGGGAGGAATAGGTGGTCATCAGGTTTCAGAGAAACATCTTTGCAGTCGGCTGGAAAGACCGAGGTGACCTGAGGGCCCCGTAGCCGCTGGTCTAGCACGAGCGACCTTCCTGAAGTGGCCATGCCTCCCAGCGGCGAGGGCAGAGGGGGTGCCCTGGGGAAGCGAGGGCAAGAGGGGGTGCCTCCCAGCAGCTAGGGCAGGGGGGGCGCTCCTGGGAAGCTAGGGCAGGGGGGGCACTCCAGGGAAGTGCAGAGCTCTGGCACAGCCCCCGCCTTGGCATCTGTCCTTACCCACCCTCTGTTCAAGTTAGAAATCTAATCAACTCCGTGACTGGCCTTTTGTCAAATGCCCCTGATGGTGTCCTTCCCAGATAACGGGGTTCTCCTCCTGACACTCTTTGTCCATTTGTTGTTGTTGCTGCTGCTATTTGTTTGTTTTATGTGGGTTGGCATTCTCTTTTCTCTTTCAAGGCCAGCCAGGTTACTTTAAAAAAAAAAATTCTTATTTCATCAGCTAAACTACGTCATTAAAAAACAAACAAACAAACAAAAAGCTCACTTCTGTGAAATTCTTTCCCTTTGCTCCCACTGGCGTTCCCTCAGAACTGCAGTTAGATCTCAGCTACACATGATCCTCAAAGAACGGGGCTACATACAGTTAAAGTTTCAAGATATCTGGGTATTATCCAGAAAACCTGCCATTAAACTTCTTGTTTCTCTATATTTAAGCACTATGAATTACCTTTTCTTTGGAACATGCTGGAGCTTGAACAAGAAGTTAAGGGAATCTTTCTTTCACATAGAGTGTTGGCATCCCAAATCTCTCTTCTTATTGCCCAGGTAGACATTGAAGAAATAAACGTTTGAGTCAAATCTGTGCATACTCTAGCACACTCCTGCATTTTAAATCTCCTGACTCCCTGACTTCTTATTTTGTGGTGATGCTCCTCTCCCTTCAGAATACCAAGAGTAGGCAAATCCCAGTATATCGGGAACTCTGGCAAAGACGGTCTGCATCTTTTGTTCTGTCCTTTGCCAGCTGACTGAGGAAATAAAGAAAGGGAAGGGCTTATTCCTCTTCTTTCAAAATGACCATTGACTGAGACCCAAAGATGGTATGGGAATTATCCAAAGTCATACAGTGAGCTAGTGGCACAGCCAGAGATAGGGGCCGAGCCACCAAGCTGGGTCCTCTGCCCGGAAATATCTACCTCTACCAATCAGGACGCCTGAACTTCCACCATTAAGGAGTATACCTGGATGCCTTGAAGAGCTGTCTACCAGCCCCTTCTGAGCAAAAGTCTAGATTCTTTAGAAGGAGGAACTCCTTCAGTCATTATCAACCACTCGCACCCCAGAGGGAATGTTGATAATTAAGGATAAGGTCCTCTGAACAAAGTGCAGAGACCTGTAGCGTGGGGAAAAGCAGTCGAGGAAGAGGGGGTGGGACATCTGGGTAGGGGGTGGAGGGAGCAGAGATGAACTGAAACATCTCTCAGAAACCACATGGCACATGACATATATCCCTCCTCTTCTCCTCTATTGTATCCCCAACCCGCTGTGAAAAATTCTGGGGCTTCTCCAAAACCATAGACATTTTGGCCCAACATGGTTCTCCATCTCTCGCCCTTTTTCCTAGGTAGCAGGTATCAAAGGGATATTCCTGGCAAACAAGAAGGTGGATGACCAGGTGAAGACATACATCACTTACAACAAGGGCAGGGATTGGCGCCTACTGCAAGCTCCAGATGTGGACCTGAGAGGAAACCCTATACACTGCCTGCTGGTCAGTCCCCCAGTCTCATGTGAGACCACACGGGGCAGGCTGGTTACCTGGGGATGCTCCATCAGGGGCTTTTATCCATCAGGGAGGTCTTAGGAACCTGGCTGGTGCTGGACAGGGATTTCCTATAATTCCCAGGGCATCATTCTGTGGACTCAGACTGCCAGATCACTTGGATGGGAAGTTCAGGTGAACTCCACAAGCTTTTACGGAGAGTACCCTATATGGTCCAACTCCTAGTAAGATAAAGAAACAGAAGAGAAAGAGCCTGTGCCCAAGGTCCCAGACAGAGCTCCGTAGTGGTAAATACCTATTAGCCGATGCTGGTGTGGTACAGTTTGATAAGGGCTTGATGGTGGTCAAGGTGAGCTAAAGTTGCCTTGAAAGCCCAAGAAGTGTCAGACTGGTGAGTCCACATGGGACAGTAGTTAATCTCTCAGCATTCCCGGGATTCCAGTTATGGGGAATATGGGGGTAGACATCATGGAGGATATGATGTGGAAGCCACTATCTCTGTCCTCGGGGGCTGCAACTTGAGGCTGATGATCGACAGTGAAATTCACAGCCCTCAGTGCCCTCTTAAAGGGACCTATGCGAGAAACTTTTCTAAGGTCTCAGAAATGGTTATGTTTCTCCTTCACACAAAAAAAGTTGCCTTTTGCCACTTACTGAAAAGGTTTATTAATCACTTATCATATTCTAGATGTTATTTTAAAAACCGGGGGTACAGTGGTAAATAAGACAAACAGGGCCTGTCTCCTTTTGTAGTTTACAGTCCAGCTCCCAGATTTTGACTTTGGTACAAGGAAGGTAGGAGACAGACGCTTGCCTACCTCCAGGAACCGGTCACAGCAAGAACTTTGTTTTTTTCTCCCCAAACCTAACCCATGGTTTCATCTTATTTTATTAACCTAATTTTCTCCTTTCCCCAATTTTACAATTTTCTTATTTTTATTTATTATATAGGCTGCAACCCTATAAATCCCTAATCCTTTTAAAGAAACTCAAATAGGGATAATAGGTAAATAAAGAATCCAAACTTCTATGAGTTTTAGATAATGGCTCCAGACATTTTATGTACAATTCAAAGTAAGATTCTAAACAGGAACCAAACACATAGCACAGAAACTGAGACTATCTGGTTGAAGAAGAGCGTAAAGGGTCTGGGGACTGTCTCACTTAGCGTCCCCTTTTTACTGCTCCCGGTGGCTCCTCAGAGCTCCAAGACGCAGGGTGCGATGGTCAAGGTCAGGCCTGGGAGAAGGTCAGGGTCATCCTGGGAGCAGGAGTGGTCAGGGAGGCTTCATAAGGCTGAGCACGAACTGGACTCTGATGGGTGGGGTTGAGTGGAGGGGTGGGGACGCCTGCGATCGTCATGGGAGCGGGGACAGGAGCGGGCCTGGGAACGGTCCTCAGGGCAGCTTCTGATGTGAGCACTTCGGCTGTTCAGGGAGAGATGACTCCTCTCCAAAACTAAGTGAGCGGCTTACATCCAATCTGGGCTGTTCCTGGAAGCTGAGCACCAGGGAGCCCTGTCTCTGGTGGGGTGAGGGTGCGTGTCAGGAGTTTCCTGGAATGAAGTTACTTTCTTCTCCACTTTAGCCCTTCTGCTCCCTACACCTGCACTTGCAAATCTCCGAAAATCCATATTCTTCAGGAAGAATCTCCAGCAAGGAGACGGCTCCCGGGCTGGTGGTGGCTACAGGTAAGGAGGACGTTCCCCGGGCTTCTTTCTCACTGAGGGCTTCGGGGGTACATCCTGACCACTTTGGAATCATTTGAGCATCGGATAAAAGCTATAGACACTTTTCCCAGAAAACAGGTGGGGTCTGCAGAGCTCCAAGGCCAATCTAATAACCCAGGAAAAGAGGTCCAGATGCTTGTAACTGCTGGTAATTGCATCATCCCACAAAGTCACAGGGCCGTCCGCTGTGCTTCGCGAGAGGCCAGAGTCCCTTTCCAAGTGCACTGACTGATCAGAAAGGTGGTTTCTACTGGGGAATTCTCACTTGAAGAAAACACGGTACATGAACTTCGTAGCTCACCAAGTCAAAGTTGGGGTAGTTTTCTCTTTACACAGAGGCTCCTTTACAAAGCGTTTTACCCCAGAGCTGTTTTTAATCAGGAGGTCTCTGGTGCATGTAAAGGTTTGTTTACACATGATGAACCACTTGGCTGGGAGCCTGGGGGTAAGGGCAGAAAAGCTCCCGTTTGCCTTGTTGGAACCACTGTCCACCGAACATCAATGAGAAATGAAGATAAAGTAACTCTGAGATGAAAATGGGAGTCTCCAGGGGAAAGTCCTCTGATCAGCACACATTTGATTTACATACACCTTTTCAGGAACACAGCGGTGTCGTAAAGCAAGGCTGGGCTCTCCTCTTAGAAGCTGGAGCTCTGATATGAGGCAGCTTTTTCCTAATGAAAGCAGGTAAAATCACAGAGACTTTCTGAGAGGGTATAGCCTGCTTTCTCTCATCAGCCTGAAGCCCTGGCCCCCGGAGTGACCGCCCTCCTAGGTACGGCTTCCTTTTCCACGCCTCCAGCTGCGAGGACTTTTCAGTGTCACCAGGCACCACCCACTCTAATCAGATTGACGGCAAGCATAGCTTCTGAACCTTTCAGGCAGCCCTTCTCGACCCCGCCGGAATTGCCATATTTAACGCCACTGAGGTCGGGGAGCCCAGGACTGCAGGAGATGAGGGCAGGCTCTGTTGCTGTTCTCCTGTCTTGGGGAGTGATCCCCACACTCCATAATCCGTGTGGGTCTGACCACCGAGCTCTGGGGCTGCTCCACTCTCTGCCTCCCTGCCCCCAAGGCCTGCGGGACTCCCCCGACTGGAGTGTAGGGAACACTGGAAAACAGGCATCGATAATAAAAGTTAACATGAGTTAAATGCTGACGATGTAGCCAGGCGTTGTTCTGAGTGGCTTAACTACTCTGAACGTCAGTGATTTAATTGACAAAGTAGGACTGATGGTACTGACATGTTGGAGTTGGAGTAGTAAGTGAAGCAGTGGATTTAAAGTGCTCAGAAGGGGGCCTAGGACCTAGTGAATGCTCAGTGTGTGTTACCTATAATCATCATTAATATTACAGAAATTTAGAACAGTGCTTCTTGCACCAGAAGAATGTGGGTGGCACCTCTCCTCCAACAGAATCCATAAATAATATGCATACGCTGGGCCTATGCTGAATGAAGGGACACACTCGGGAACCCCGTGGTCCCGCATTCCAGGCTGGGCTCTAATGCTTCCTGGCCTTATGGATTTGGCTTAGTTCTTTAACCGCTGAGCTTCGTTTGCTCTGAGCATAGTCAGCTGGGATTAGTGGAGTCGTTATTATCTGTGACCATCACGTGCCTCTAAATGACTCGGTTAAGTCTTTGCAAACTAGCAAACATGTAGACCTTAAAGATTTGTTTTTGAAACATTTGTCAGTACGTATGAGAATGTGCTAATTCCTCTTACTCTCCCCTTTGTAACTCTTGGAACTTGCATGGAGCATTGCATTGTGAGGGACAGAACACAGGTGACAAGATCCTGATGGAAATCCAGGACTAGATCCTGGCACATGCTTCCTGGTTTAGCACCTCCTAACCCTGCTTGCCATCTCTGCCTGGGAAATGGTTTGCTAGACAGAGGATAATGATGAAGCTAGCCAAGGATGCCATCAATGGCTTATATGGAGCCTGTCTCTAGAGGACCCCCTTCCATATCCATGTGTTTCACCTGCCTTCAGGCATCAGTGACCCTGGCCTCTGTCCTCCCCACTCACACTCCTCACCACCTCCTCCCATCTCTCATTGAGATGAGATCTCAGGGAAGCTGCGTGGATGAAAGGCTAGCCAGGGATTCGTCTATATCTCTTGTTGAGACCATCTCAGAAAGCAGATGGAATTCCAGTCTGGAGAGTTGGGGAGCTGCCTTTAGCAAGCAAAACCGCTAGGGTTCAAAATACCCCTACCACTGTGGTCTCAAGCTGGTTGTCGAGAGACCTCACATCCTCCCAGGGCCTTAAGTTGTGCAAAGCACTTTCCTTGCCTTGATGGCACAGTGGCTGGAGGGTGTAGAAAAGGCAATTACTCTTCTCCTCCACTTACAGATGACGAGACGGAGGGCAGGAGGGAACAGGTGTCATGTCCATGCTCACACTCCCTCAGGCTCTGAGTCTAATCTGTCCAGTAGCCATTCAGCCAGACCTCGTCCTGAGCCCCTTCACAGGCCAGCTCTGCACCTACCCCAGGCTCCCCGCCACAACGCTTCCTACAAACTCTGAAATGCCCATCCCCTGGAGTTGTCCCCTTCACGGAGGTGCCTTTCCTCCCTGCACTGGCTTGCACACCGTCTGCTTCCTTCTATATTTCACCCTTAACCTCCCTGAGTGGGCATCAGTGCTGGTGAGAAAGGCGTCTCTAGACCCAGAGGATGTTAAAATTCTCTCTCTCTTCTCCTTCTTCTTCTTCTTTCTAACTAAGGAGCAGAGAAGGAAGGTAGCTGTAGGAGGAAATGGGGCCAAAAGCATATTGTTTAAAGCTGCCCCAATGCTCTGATTTACCAGCTAAGCTGTTCTGAGAGGAGCTCCCTGTTCTCCATCCCTCTCCTCCCTTCTCCCTCCTTTCACACCACTTCAGTGGGAACAGCTACCTCTTCCTCCAACCTGGCCAGGGATACCTTGGGAAGCCCCCCTCCAGTTCCACGTTAGCCAGTGAGGTGCGTTATTCAAACCTTCCTTCTCTGACACGATAACCCAGACTCTTCCTATTAGAGGTTTCCCACAGATCCACTTAGGGACTGAACATGTTCAGAGATCAGATCATCCTGGACACATCTGTCCTTTCATCTGGGAACTGACTTTCTGGTCCCTGTGATCAGCAGCAATTCTTTCAGGGAGACTTTCAACTCACAGTAGCTGTGTCCAAAACAGCCTTCACTGTGAACCTTGGATTCTCACTACCATCATGCCTCCAAAATCAGTCTAGTCGAGCTTTGAAAGAGAGGCTTAAGATGTGGGCAGAACTAGCTCCTAAAGAGGGTAAGAGGTGATGAGGCAGATCCTAGGAGGCCATCACAGGGATGGCAGATGCTAGCTCTAGGGGACTGTACTCCTGTCTCCTTCCTCTACCATCCGTGGTAGACATGACTCATCGATCACCAAACTCCATTCTGTTGAAACCAAATATGGCTTCAGAATCCTTCTTAGCACAGTGGTTTCAGAATCCTCCTAGCACAGTGCTCCAGGCAGCCATCGTTACATGACTTGAGTTGACACTCTCTGCCCTGCCCCGCTTTTCTTTCTTCATCTGTGTCTTCCAAAACCTGGATCTGAAGAACCGAATTCCAAATCCAGGCATGGCTGCTCACAGCGGCTCGCCATGCCTCTCCTTACTCCGCTTGTACCTATTGCCTGAGCCCCGAGCCCCAGGCTTATTTTTGGAAGCCTGGGTGTCAAAACAAGTTGGCTAGCTGTATGTTCCCTGATGCTGATGGGAGCTTGACAAGCTGTAGCCTGGCTTTAATTCCTCATGTTGAAGCATTAAATGTCAGGAGCTCAATTAACATTTTCATTATTGCATTTTTATTGTGCTCTTACGTAGGCTACAGATGTGTGGGAGCTAACATTCCCTTCCCTGCTATTTTTAAAGAAAAAATATCAGCCTCAATGATAAATTATTACATGTTTAAGGTACCTTCCTGGTTCTCAAGACCTCCCCGAATGCACATCAATATCAGAGCATGGTTCAATCATTTTGTTTACTCATTCATTTATTCCACAATTATTTGTTGAGCAACTAACTTCTAAGTTTGGGGGCACCGTTCTGGGCTGTGAGGTTGTGCGGGGAAACTTGGGCAATGTAGATAGAATGGAAAGTCTTAAGCAGTTTTTTTCTTTAAAAAATAAACATAACCCACAAGGTGATGAAGTGCAGGAGGAAGAAAAAGAAGGGAGGAGAAAAACAGAGGGTGTGAAGAGGTAGAGCAGTAAGTGTGGTCAGTCTAGGCATAAACCAGGTGACTTCTCCTGCCATATTGGATGGCCAGGGTCTGCTGAGTATTGTCCTCTTCTTCTGGGAACTCCATAATTTTGTTTCATAGTTTATACTATTGGATTACTTAATTTCCTGGCACTCAAGAAACATGTTGAGAAGTTTAAGTTGGAAACACACCCACACCCACACCCACACGCACACACATACACACTCAGTTTTTCTTAGGCTACTATTATACATGAAGAGGAAGGTATTCCTAGGCCAGTTTCTCCATACATGTCTGCTCTTCCACTCTCTGCCAATGTCAAGATCAATGTTGAAGAGATTATTGGTATACAGAATGAAGAGTTCCAGAGATCCAAGCTAATCAATATTTGGTTTTTGAGTCTTACCACTTAAAGACACATCCCTGTCATATTACTTATGTATTCATTTTTCCCATATTGGATTATCTTCCAGCTGGGTTTTTGATACGACACCAAGAGAGAGATTGTACACATCTGCTCTAAACACAACTTAGAAAATCTTTCCTCCTCCAACCCCAAGCACATGTCATCTATAAACTGCCTGACAATTTCCAATGATCTGCTCTGTTTCAGGCAATATTGGTCCAGAGCTCTCCTATACTGATATCAGTGTGTTCATCTCTTCTGATGGGGGCAACACATGGAGACAGGTAACTGTGGGATTTGGGGACAGGGAAGAGGCATTTAGGGCAAGTTCTGCCAACATCTCTCTTTCCTCTAGATTCTCAGGCTCATTATGACTTTTTGGGTGCAAAAAGAAATTGAAGCAGCTATTCTATTTGGTCCATGTAGCTGGCATATTAGATGGGCAATGGGGTAAAATGGGATGAGCTGGGCAGGGAATAAGAAGAACTGGAGTTTTCCCAATTTGTTCATTCTGTCATTCAGCAATGTGTACGGGGCAGTCATCAGGGGCTGTGTACCACGCTGGTGTGGTGGGGGGACACCACCAATAAAACAGTGTTTGTCATCAGCGTGCCATGGGATCTTGGCAAGTAGGTCTCTTGACCTTTCTGGATCTGTTTCTTTATCTACAAGAGGAAGAGGGTAGAATACTAAGACCAGAAAGTCTTGTGGAAGTCTGTGGTGGGTGAAGTATCGTGTAGGACCAGCTTTAATTAAGTAAGAGACAGCTTAATAGATACATGGCCATATGAAAAATTAATTCGATTTTACAAACTTTTTTTTTTGCAGCTCTAGCCAATAGAACTTTTGGCAATGATGAAATTGTTCTGTATCTATGCTGTCCCATGTGGCTATGAAACACTTGAAATGTGGCTCCTGTGATAGAGGAACTGAATTTTTAATTTTATTTATTTTAATCAATTTAAATTTAAGTTGTCTCACATGGCTTCTATATTGGACAACAACAGCTTTATGCAGCGTCAACTCGGTGTCAAATATAAACCTGAGGAGGTGGCTGAATACTCTGGAGTCCTCAGAGAGCTCAAAATTAAGCAGAGAAAACAGGTTCATAAATAACTAACTATAGTTTAGACTGATTGCATGATTTTAGTGGCATTGTGAGCTTGCAGAGAAAAGGGAGGAATTAGTTCTACTTGGGGAGACTGAGAAAGACCGCACAAGAAGAGCTGGCATTTTACTAAGTCTTCAAGATGAGAAGGTTTCTATCTGAAGAAGACAAAGATTTGGGTCCCTTAGGAAAGATTATCATGGCCGTCACCAACATCATCATCACCACCCCCATTGTCACCACTCTCACTACTACCACTGTCAAAAATAAAAAAAAGTTACCAAGGACCTACCAGGCACAACCACTATGTTAACTATGATTAGGCACAACAAAGAATAAGTTAAGCTGTCTGCTCACCAGGCCATAATCAGGTAGATGAGGAACAGACACATAAATATGAACATGCCTTCAACATATTAAGTGCCAAATCAGGTCGAAACTGGAATGTCAACTCCTCTGGTACAGAAACTCCCAACAGACAAATCATTGTCCCTCCAATACGAGAAATAGTTCACCTGACCAGGTGGCTACAGCGACATTCCTTCCTTGTGTTGTCACTACTTTGGTTTTCTTTTTTCTTTTCCCCAATAACCAAGGATTCCATCTTCTAGTGCTGGGCAGGGCAAGAGTTAGTAGGGGCCAGAATGATAGTATCAAGAGGAAAGTGTGACGACAATAACATCTCTCCCCTCCTCAGTGCCAAGAATTTTCTCGCCCTCGGACTTAAACCCAGCCTTTTTATTATGTAGCTTATCAGAGTCCACCTTTGAGCTCTGGAGAGAAAAGCTAGCATTGCTGGCTCAGAGTCTTTGTTTATATCTGGCATATAAGTGAATAATCCTTAAGTCTTTTGTGCAGTAAGGCTCATCATTAGTGTGGACATTTATATTTCCTTAAAAGGAAAATATGGGAAAGAAAACTATTTGAGAGGGTTCAGCCTCAGAGTCCACTTACGTTTCTCTGTGGTTTATGTAGAGGAGATCTCATTCCTTCTATCCCCTCCCTTTGAAATCTGCTTACACTTTCTTACCCCTTCTGGTATGTCTCACTTAACCTACCATCCCAATCTGACCATCTAGGCTGTGAGAGTCACCACTAGTGGGTTAAGGGCTAGAGGAATTCTCCAATTCCACTTTCCTCTAGAAGATCTATATCTAGAGGAGAGAACTGGCTCTCTGATGGGGAAATATTTTTCCTGTCCTAGGTTGCAGATTTAAATGCCATCAATTATAGCAGCTTTGCCCTATGGAGGGTTAGGTCTGAGCTAAGGCTCCAAGATTTGCATCATGGTAGGTGCTTAGTAGGCGCCAATGTAGATGGATGGATGGGTGACTGAATGAGTGAGTGAGTGAGTGGATGGATGAATGGATAATGGACAAGTGGATGAATCAAGGAATGAGTAACTCTAGGTCCCAAGAAGCACTGGGTCCCAATGAGCATTTAGTGTAAGGATCCCCAAGTACCAAACTTAAATCTTCATCCAACTTTCCTGGGAATCTAGGAGGTGGTAGCTAAGTCTGAGAACTCAGTCGTTACATAGACCGTAATGTCTACATGTCTAAAAGGAATTGTCCTTTAATTTCCTAGGTAATTTATAAACACACTGTAAGACACAGACCATTTATAAATTAGCAAATATCTCACTTGAAGAGATGAAAAGGAGGAAGCTGAGAAGTAACTTACTCAGATAAAAGGATGGGGAAGCTTTTTTGAAGTCCTCTTTTCCTTTGGGTTATCTGGTTAAGCATGCCTCGACCTCTTGTAGTACACTAGCTCACAGGACTAGGGGACGGAGCCCTGGAAATGCCATGTGGGAAGCCTAGGGAGGCTTATTTGTTCTCTGCAAGCCCATTTCCTCATCTGTTACATGGGGAGGACAGTACTTGCCAAACTCCCAGATTTGGTTGTTGGAAGGCTCAGAACCTGGACGAAATGATGTATGTGAAAGACTTTGTAAACTGTCGAGCACGATGCGAATGTGAGGCATTGCTGTGATTGTTGTTATTGTTGTTGTTCCAGATCTTTGATGAAGAGTACAATGTCTGGTTCCTAGACTGGGGTGGCGCCCTCGTGGCCATGAAACACACACCTCTGCCAGTCAGGCATTTGTGGTAAGGACAGCTCCCTACCCTATTAATGAGCAACTTTTTAGTGGAAAGGGCTGGGACAAGTTATTCTGCATGGTTTTGTACCCATTTCCCCATTTCTTCATCCGTCTCCTCATCCATCCACCCATTTAATATACACGGTGTCATCTAACTCTTAGGTAGCATTAGAAGGTCGGGTAATTTAGATGGGAAGTTTGATGAATACAGTGGGATCGTAGGCATGGGTGTTCTGATAAGGCAGACATGAGCAGGAAGGACCTGCAAGTTCAAGCAGCCAAAATTAAGAATCCAAAATATAGGAGCTGAATATTGCTGCAAGGAGGTGGTTAGGTGCATGTAGCAAATGCTAAGTTCAGCTCCAGATCAGTTGAATTTGAGATATCTATGAATATTCAAGCAGAGATGATGATTAGTTGTCGTAATTATTCATCCAAAGGTCAAGAGAGAGGTCTAGGAGGACACTTCAGATTTGGAGTTAACTAGCCATTAGGTGGTAGTTAAAACCATGTCAGTAGGCTGTGCACCTCATGAAAGTGGGTGCAAAAAGGAGGAAACAGGGACTCCTGTGGAACACTGTTGGATACGAACATGCAGAGCAGGGGAAGAAGTTATGGAACAAACTTAAGGAGAAATGGCCAAAAAAGATAAAAACACAGGAGAAATGTTTCCATGGATGCTGAAGGAAAGGGTGATCAATAGCACCAAGTTCTATATTTAAATCGTCAGTTACAGAGTGAAAACAATCTAGAATTCAGCAATAAAGGAGGTCACTGGTGATTGTTTGTCAGGGTAAATTCAAAAGAGAAGTGGGGTTGAAAGGTAGATTGCAACACAGGAATGAATGATTAGCAATGAAGCAAAGACAGTGTCAGTAACTCTTCCCAAGAAAGCAGATTATGGGATGATGTTGAGTGTGTACACGTAAGACCCTCCAGGGAGGACAAAGAGTTCAGTGAGAAAGTATGATGATAATGAGGATGGTGATGATGATGATGATGATGATGATGCTTTGGTTTTGGCAGGGGACGGATAAGTATCATACATGTTTATATCCTGATGGGAAAGAATTTCAGGCTTCAGATTCAACAGAATGAATATTTGAGTAAATATTTGGCAGTAAGGGTATATTATTTATAATACAGTTGTTAGGATTTGCCATGGGCTGGAAAATGGGCACTGGCATAACTCCCAGGACCTTGACTTTGGGAGACTAACCCTTTTAGAATAAGAGTTCTACTTGGAAGCATCAGATTGTAATGAGGGAAAAAAAAATCAGCTTTGGATCCCCAGGTACACAATCCAAGCTTCTGCCACCTTGGCAAGGACTTAAGAAAGTTTCTCTTCGTTTGGTCATTTATAAAGTTAACGCCATTTGTTAAAAAAAAAATGCTCTGCCAACTCAAGCATGAGCTTGAAAAAGTTCCCAATGTAATTGTTTATCATCCTTTCACTACAGATTTTATCATTTGGGGCTAGAATAGAAGAGTGGAATTACTTGATAGTAATGATAGTCAGCATTCACTGAGGGGTTATTAAATTCCAGGCACTGTTCTAGACCCTTTACATGAATTGTCTAAGTTAATTCTTGCAGCCACACTATGCATGTGGGTACTCTTTCTATCATAGCACTAAAATGCAGGCGTATTAAATACTTGCTCAAAGCTACACAGCTAGTACCTGCCAAGTTAAGTCTCTCTCATGGATGCTCTTCAGTTTTACCTGCCAATTTTCCAGATATTTTAATGAGTACACAGAGGCTTGTCACATGGTTGCTGCCCTCTGGATGGGGTGGGGGGGATCATTGTCAAGATAAGGAGTTTAGACAGTCCACATATTACCAGAAATCAAATCAATGTCAGAAAAGTAACATTTCTTGGCTGCTGTCATTGGATTCTAAGCACTGTATCTAAACCTTGATCTAAACCTCGATGAGATGATTGAAAGATGTCCTGCAGACAGACCTAGCTGGCAGGTTTCTTCCCTTTAGGTCCTAGGAGACAGAGTGGCATCCCCATTTGTATCTGATGGTCACTGACCTGCTCCCCCCTCTTCATTTTGGTGGAAGACTTAGAGCTCACTTCATGATTGTTTTTTAGAGACTTTTACACAAAAGTTGCCTTGTCTTAAGGAGAAGAAGAGTTTGTTATTGTTGTCATTTCTTTTTGGCGATGGAAGAGGAGAGTATGTTTGGCATGGAAGGGGTGTATGGAGCAGAGGGACCACAGAGAGCTTTGGCTTTGGCAAATCTTAACATCCTTATGTGTGATCATTCAGTCTTTTCTGCAGTGGTGTCTCTCCGGAAACCTGATCACTTCCAAAAGGAACACTTGCCTAGGGGTTTCTGGAGGGAAACCATCCAAGTTGGTTAAATGATCTCATAGTCACTCAGGGATATGTAAGTACGTAAAATCAAATCCTGCCTCTCAAAGTCATGAATACAAAATTTTGAGTTTTCCCTTATTCCATGAAATATCTTTTGTTGGTTAAAAAAAACAAAAAATGCTATAGCTCAGAAAAAAATAGCTTCGTTCCTATCAAATTTCCTCTAATGGTAGTAATGATACTTCTATCTCCATTGGCTCATCTACTTCAATTTATAAAGTATTAAAGATGATTTTTCAAACTTAGCTTTGGAATAAAATTTTCTCCATTTACAGGATGGTGACACTGTCGTTTATAATAAATGCTGCAAATGTCCCCCTGAACTTAGATACGTCCCACGACTTCTGCTTACTTGTCCATCTATGAATGCCCTTCTCTGGAAACAGTCCTTGCAGTGGTTAAATGCCAGCTATGGAGGACCTGTGTTAGAAAACAAAGACAAATGACTCATTGGGGAACTCACCTTGGTACTTCTCTTTCGAGGCTAAGTGAGTGTTTCATAAGGGCTCGACCGTATCATTATCATCAATGTTTCCTTACGAACTTCTTGACTGATTCTGTCTCTGGCTGGCTTCTGAGTTGCAAACTTGGGAAACTCAAATGCAGTGTTTTTGTCACCAGTAGCTTCTGTCTGAGTTCCTACCTTCAAGGTAAACAAATGGCTCATTTGAAGTGGAAGAAAGATTAAGTAACCTGTTCATTGTTCTTTTCTGTAGTTGGTCTCACTCACATTATTTGGCAGCGTATACAGATGTACGTATATTTGCACAGGAAAAAAGACACCGGCCCACCCACTCTCACACAAGGGTATAATGGCTCTCCAATTTAAATAATAGCTACATCGCCTTTCAGAGAAAATGGGAATCATAATTGAAAAGCTGGGGGAACTTTAGCGAGGCTAACAAGGCATGTTGTTTCCTATAAATTGAAATGATAGGTAGCTAGCTATGCATGAGGACAAAACAGCATACAGATGAAACCATCTGTTTGTGACCGTGTATGTTTAGATGCATAGAGATTAGAACCTAAGTGCTATTTCAGGTCAGCCCTCCATCCGGTGTCACCAGTATTAGCTTTGTACCTTAGAAGCGTTAGAGTGAAGGAACAATGCAGCCCCACGGAATGCAGCGCTCTGATGAAAGCTCACAATAGACGGAGCTCGTAATCAGCAGGTAGATGGGGTCCTACTGTCTGTCTAGCCCTGACAAGCCATCAGAGTCTCCTTTCAAAGGGATGTTCTTGGAAACTGAAAGCAAAACATCACCTGGTCTTTTTTGTCCCTTCGTTTTTCTATAAATGGTTGTGAATGCTGGCCATTTGCTCAGGGAAACGTTCACGTGAAGTAACAGTTCCAACCGATGTGAGTCTTTGAGAAGAGAAAGTGCATGTGCTCTTCTGAAAGGGCTTCCGTGGGGCTACAGTGCCAACACCTTGTGTCTTTGGGGTGACATAAAATGGAGCAATGCACCTCACCAAGGGGAGGAACACTGATCCTCGGTGACCATTGTGACTGTACTTCTGTGCTAGAGAGTTCTGGGGAGGCCTCTGATTGTTCTTGGCAGATTCTGCTCTTTTAGTAGAGCTCATCTCAACAGCATAACGCCATAGACACATGGAGTGCAGGAGGGTCTCGGAGGACAAGGGTCTGGTTTCACACGTAGTACAGCAGGCATCTCTGACACCTGAGAGGGTTACCACACTTCATCAGGACAGCGCAGGGCTGACCAACTTGTAGGTGAGCCCCCACCTTGTCTATTGGCTTTGGTTGTTAGAAAGATTGTTTCTGTGCTGAGCAGTAATGAATCTACTTGTAATTTCTGTTCACCAGTCTCTGTTCTGCTGCCCAGACCTACGCAGAGTAAATCTGCTCCAGAAATGTGTGTGATTTGTAGTGTCCTACACCTGAAAAGGACCTCAGGAGCTGGCTTTGTTCAGGCTTTCCAAGTTCTGGAAAATGACCAGAACAATTCAAGGCAGATTCTGTGCATCTGTTCATTTATTTCTTACATATTCATTGAGTATATGCTATTTACCTGGCATGAGCATCGGGGCTGGGATATACCAGTGAAAATGACAGAATACTTGGGAACTTACATCCTTGTGTGGACATTTGACTTTCCTTTTTGGAACAGTTATGAGAATAGAAATCTTTTCTACCTTAGCCTCTCTGTATTTTTAATTGATACTTTCGTGTGTTTTTATCCACATTCTCTCTGATTTCATTCACAGACATTGCCCCTCTCCAATAGGCAACAAACAGAATTATTTTTATGTGTTTAACTATTTGGAAGCTTTCTTACTAAAAAAAAGTTAGAAGGCAATGGTAAATTATTCAGCCCCTTTTCTTCTTTCCCTAAACTATCTTCAATTCATATAATCTGTTTCTAGAACAACTTGTTTCTTACTTTTAATCACACTGATTGTCAGTTTTCTACAGTGATTGAAACTGAACGTAGCACTCAGGATCTGGTGGAAGGTTAATAATGCCTTTTATTATGCACGCTGTCTACCTGTGAACACATACTAAACTTACGGTGGCTTGTTCACCTCTCACAATAGAGCTGTTGCTGGAAAATATTTACCTTGTGATTGACAATCACTTCAGGTCATTATTACTGGTT